ACGTAAATGCAATTCCCTGCGAATTACTACAGCGTCCTCATCTACAGGATCCTCTATGAATGGACACGCCATTTTGGTCTCTGCGTGACGGAAACGTGTGCAATCTATGAATGTACTGAAAGATTAAATGAGGTATTAAACACCTTTCACTTTAAAAAGGGGCGGAGACCCGGAGGAAACTCTGAGTTTCCCGAACAAAACCTGCTCGCCAGCAGGTTAGGTTCACAGAGTAAGTTGCCATAGTAACTGACTCTGAGTTTAGATTACCTCTCTTTGTGAAACGGGTTTAACTTACCCCGCTTTCACGGGTTTAAGTTACCTCCGTTTCTGAAACCGAAAACTCCAAGTTTCCCTCATTTCGGGGTTAACAAACTCTGAGTTTCGACAAAACCGCCTTCTTGAAATAGGCCCTATGTGGTGCTCAGTTCCTAGACACACACACACACACACACACACACACACACACACAGGGAGCAGACAGTTGCTGTCATAGCAGTGGAGACAGGGAGCTTGTTAACATTTGTGCAGTTAAACCTTTGCAAGTAAAAAGCCAGTGGGAGTAATGTCGTGGCAAGAGTGAGATACCAACTAAATTAATTCAGACAAACCATTACAATTTAAAGGATCATTTAATATTACAATTATTCTAAATAGAGTAGTATTTAAACAGATAATCTTGTAGTCAGGGAACAGAGAGTAGAGATCAGAGAACAGAGACTCTCCTCTTGCAATGGAATAGATAAAGCCTAAGAAGATTGTTAAAGCACCAGTCAGTCGTCGTCATTGGTTGTCAGTCCCGAGTCAGCGTCAGCACCAGTCAGTCGTTGTCTCCCACCAGCCCTCCGAGGCCGGGCTGGTGGTACACTGCTCACGGTAGCATGGTCCTTCTCCTTTCTCCCCCTGACTCCCTCAGGCTCACTCCTTTCTTATCCCCAGCCTCCCTTATGCTGTTGCATCTATTTCTGAACTCCTGCCTCCAGTTTCGGGAGACAACACCCTGAGATGTACTTCGAAAAAGGAAACATCTTATTCCTACATAAACCCATTGTCCAACTCACATGAACCCATAGCCACTCAGCTCAAATAAGTACAAATAATAAACTAAGTACAAGTAATGTCTATATGTGAAGTACATACTGTTCTATGGCATAGTTCTTCTGGAATCTGATTTATTTTTAACCACTACAGTAATTTAACAAAACACCTGCTAAAAAAGCATAAACCTACAGAGAAGGCAAAAGAAGTGGATGTCCAACAATCAGAACCATCACCAAGAAGGCGCAGCACAGGATGTGGTTCGTGTACCAGCTCAGGAAGTTCAACCTGCCCCAGGAGCGGTTGATACAGTTCTATAGAGGAATCGTCAAATCTGTTCTTTGCTCTTCCATCACTTTACTGTTTGGGTCACATTATCAGATAGTGAAGACAACCTGGGGCAGCTGTGGCTCAGGAGGTAGAACGGGTCATCTCTTAACTGGAAGATTAGCAGTTAGATTCCCAGCTTGTCCAGTCCACATGTCGAAGTGTCCTTGAGCAAGACACTGAACTCCCAGTTGCTCAATGTGACATTACCGATATGTGAATTTGGGAGTGCGAATGGCCAAATAGTGTCAAATTGCCTTGAGCCTGCTGTAAAGCATAGAAAAGTGCTGTACAAGTCCAGTTTCCATTTTGTTCAGCAACCAAATAGGAGAGGAACAGACTCCAATGTACAGTCAGGACTGCAGAAAGAATAATCGGAGACCCCCTGCCCCACATAGGTCATGTTCACGCTGCAGGCTGAAGTGGCTCAAATCCGATCTTTTTGCCCAAATGTGACCCATATCCGATTTCCTTATGACAGTGTGAACAGCACAAATCTGGCCTAGGCCACTTTCATATATGGTCCTAAATCAGATACATATCCGATGTTTTGCAATGCGACTTCAGTCTGAACGGCCATGTCGCATTTCATGCG